GTCTTTATTTAGTTTATGGTTGGAATGCTGGAGATACATATGTTATCATAGAAAACAGATTTTCTCACCAGGTCCTTCAGTTGACAGGTGTATGACACGTTCCTCTGTTAATCCCCCATCATCATGTTGGGTCACTGTTAATTCCACCAGCTTTTCTCCTTTTCACTTTTCATTAAATCAGTGTGTAGGTGACAGTAACACATTATAACCTGTCGTCTGGTCAAACATGAACTGTCAGGCCTGTGTGTTTATGTACAAAAAGATGAATTTGTGCTCGTCCTGATGCCACAGCCGTGTGTGCGGCGTGTCAGTGATGTGCTGCTCAGCTGTGTGTGTACATTTAAAAAAAACACAGACAGGTTGGAACACAGCCTCTGGCAATGTGTGAATTATTGAAGAGAACAGCAATGAGATTACGTTCTGCTCTTTCATGTGTATTAAAGTGTATGGAGCCCTTGAGCAGGGCAGAGATTTCTACAGGAGTGTAAGTGAGTCACTTCCGATCCAGTCCACAGTGACACATTCATTCTAACAGAGAAGTAGAAACAGTCCTGTATTGTGATAGAAGCAGTGGTTCAGTGGTTTCCTACTAAAACTACAGATTTAAAGTTGAACCTGTCGCATCATTTTCATATCAATCCCTGGGTTTTAAATGATGTCACTGGTGCACACAGGTGATGTCGGTCTACCTGTAGCTGCAGTTATGTAACATTTTGTGATGACACACCCTGTCTGCTTGATCCTACACTTGTCAGATAAGGAAGTAATCATTGAAAGATGACCTCACTCTGGAAAGTTTCAAGATTAGTGATTTTCAGTAATCGTTTCTCACAGATATTCTCCTTAACCTCAGTCTTAATATGAATTTTGTCTATATCAAAAACAGTCCTGGGTAGAGTGAGAATAAATATCTGTAGTTTTATATGACCCCCAACTTTATTCTTCTTTTCTGTTCTACATTCAAGCAGAACTTGGCAGCTACCTCCTGCTTTTTTGTCTGTATCCTTATTCAATGTTAGTGTGATGTCATGATGAATGTATCTGACACCATATCTAAATATTCAATTGTATTTATGAGAGTACCATCTATTTTTTTTATCCTGACATATCACAATCACTAAATGCAAAAACAGAAATAGGGTTATTAAAACAGCAATGAGATGAGCTGATGAGCAGGAAAACAGAAAAGAGGAAGGAAAGGAAAAAATATAGAAAATGAAAATGATAATTTCTCTAATATGACAATGATTAAGAGCCATGAAACTCATATTGTATGATCTAGGAATTTTGGTCATCTCATCAAAAACATTTTATTAACACACTCTCACAATTTAGCCAAAGAGTCTTTCGAAGTATTTGAATATGAACAATCCAGTTTGATTTCACAGGGACTGTTTCCTCTGTAGTAACATTTGGATGAACTGACCCTTTATGTTGCTCAGTGAATCTCATTATGTCTGTATATGTCAAACTGGAGACCAGGGCTCAGTGGGACTGTTCCTGGAGAGTTGCTCAATAAAGCTTGATGGTTTGTAACTGGATCAACAGTCATCAGCACAAAGTTCAGAGACAAAGTGGTGCAAGAATCAGAAACAAAAGAAGAGTGTGAATCATTACACAAGGATTAGTGGTGAAAACTGAGGTGGCAGCAGCAGCACTTCAGAGCAACACGACTACGATAGGATTATATTCAAACACACTCAGGACGACGAAGTGCCACCTTTCTGAAACTCTGTAAGATCATTTGTGTTACAGACTTTAAAAAGTTCGTTTTTGTGAAATGTGTGTAGTTTATTTTGAAGGATTGTTTTTATACATGAGCTAGTTAAAATACATTTATTTGTGAAAGCCTGGAGAGTAAATCCAATTTTCTTCAGATGGTTTTTTCATTACCTACATCAGCGTTTGTTTGTCTGATATATTGCAGTACTACACAAAAACTAATGGATGGATTACCACCAAATTTAGGGGAAGGACGTGTTCTGGGCAGATCCAGGATTATGTTTTTTCATTCTTTAAAATTCTAATATTGGCATTTTTTAATGTTTCGACCAACGTCTCAGAGATTAATTTGTGGCTCATGATGAAAAATATCAGGCACATTTAGTGAACTAATATGTATGAGTGTGTGTCATGTGGTGCAGCTTTGTTGAATTAAAAGTTCAGTTGGTAATATTTAGGTGAAAGGGATCAATGAGCAGATATTGAATATAAAATTATTCTTGAGACATTTTCACTAGTGTGTTTCATCTAAATTGTACAAATTGTTGTTTTCTTCACTCTGGAATGGGCCCTTTATATTTAAGTACTTTATATTTATAGTTTACAATTATTCCTGTTGCACTGTTTGCTTGTAGTGGTGCTTTGCACTTTAATTCTACTAATACTGCAACTTCAATTTCAGGTTGAGGTGCACTCAGATGGATTATGCTATGAAGTCTCTCAGCCTTTTGACTCCATCCTCCCTCTCCAAGTAAGAGCACTGCTTCATGAGCTAATTATGTTCAGTTTAGAAAAAGGTTTAACTCTTTTTTAAATTACTCATTGTATATAAAGTATAATTGACTTTAATTAAATAAGTGCTTGTATTTTCTTCACAACAAATGTAAAATAAAGCATGAGACCATCTGCATGCACCCCATGACTCATTTCAGTGCAAACAAAAACTGTCAGTGTTCACTTTGTCATGTGGTCATGCATTCCTATGTGATGGGATTTAAATGATGCTACACCAAAAACTGAACTAAAAGAAAATGTGTTAATTGTCCCAGTGTTCATCGCCTCTACAGCTAGAAAAACAGGCTTGTGCTTCAATACATTAGCAAACAATGAAGCAGCTGTTATCCAAAGGGTATTTATTGAACTTCATGTTAACATTGACTGAAACAGAAATGACCAGCTGACTCAGCTTCTAACAACCAGTGGACAAGAGAAGACGCTGGGCCACAGTGACGCTTCATCTCTTAACCACTGAATCCTCACATCAGAGGTTTCTGCTTCATATGTCCGACAGCCAATTTGTTTAAAACCTGACCAGCTTTTTTTCCCCCACTTTCCATGACAAGATGGAAAAAGTGGCATTTCTGTGGCCAGCTGAAGCCTCTCTCCCCCTCTCTCTGTGTATAATGGTTCGCTTCCCTCCCTCGCCTCCTGCAGCTGCTTGCTATTCCCCTTCTATTCGCCTGCGACTCGGAGGCAGAGGCTGCAGCTGACAGGACAGTGCAGGCTTGGGGACAATTAGAGAAGCGTGGGAGAGCCAGCTGGACCTGTTGCCAATTAAACCGACTGTGACCAGGAACCATACACAAGCACCAGTCTAATGGGCAACACTGCACATCTAAGAGCACTTGTGGATGTCACGCAAGTCGACTTAAGTGAACCTTCAGGTGTGGAAAATAATAAAGTTTTATTTATTCATCTCCAAAGGAAAATGTCATAATAGTGAGTAAAAGCGTTTTCTGAGGAATAACTTGTAGTGTGTGATAAAACAACGTAACAGAGCAAGAAAGTGTCTGTGAGGCATGAGCTGTTGCAACATCTGCCATGTTTCCAAACTGCACAGGAATGAGTGGTATGATCAGGTAGATATCGATTGTTTCATCTGTGCGCTCAATCTAAGAATTGGACAATATGTCCCCTGTGCCATGCAGTCCATCGTCAGTAGGAGATCTTTCCCAGCAGCATGCTCTGCAGCTGCCTGATCCTGCTCTCCTGTGGCAGCGCCAGGCTCTTCTCTGCCTGCTCCTCCTCCTCCAGCAGCTGCTCGATGTAGCAGGACGAGCCCAGCAGGATGTGGCCTGTGGCCTGCATGGAGAAGATGGTCCATCGCAGAGCCTCCCTGGACGCACAGCACAGAGGGAACAATCGAATAATAGTTGGCAAATTCAAATTCCAATCTGTGGAAATGGTGCAACAGACTAGTGCTGTCAAGTTTTCTAACAATGGAGTTGAACGATTTTGACATGACATGCAATTTGTTTGAATAAGTCAGCACTTGACGTTGCTCAGCTCGTCTGTGGTGGCTCCTCTCTGCTGCCTCACTTGTGCTGGAAGCTAACAGGTGAGCCCACAGGCTGAAAGGTGCAAAGTAAACAAACAGCCTCAGCTGCTACATTTCTGTCTACAGTGTAGAACTGAAAATACTTCCACAAGCTGCCTCTCAGATGCCATGTGTCCTGATTATCTGCTCATGACTTGCTCTCATCTTCTTTCTTGTGTCAAAACAACGTCACATTACTGACTTACTTTACTGATAGGTCAAGAGGGCAGGTGTTAGGTCAAGTTAATAGTGATCGCTCTCTGCTGGATCATGAGCCAAACTTCAGATGCGTTTCCCAACTGTATATAAGTGAAATCCATAAAGTCATTACAGGTCGAATACACATTTTTCCCCCTATGTTTGAATTTAAATAAAAAGTGACAGCCCTGATGGACAAGGGCGATCACAATGTTTGAGTAACTTTGGANCAAAACACAAACAGGTGCCAAAATACAAACACACCAGTTTAGGTGTGAGGGTACAGATCAATAATAGTTCAATTTAATCACATAACACATTTTCCTAATATGTATAATATCCAGGGCCTCAGGTTTCCTGTTCCATTGACATTCCACAAAATATTTTAACCAATCAATACTAAAGCAATTTGGTTTATATAATTTCCAATTCATCATAATATACTGCCAAAGAAAGCTAATGCAGTGATGAGATATGTGAGCACTCACTGTATATCTTTTACCTTTCTAGCTGAAGGTTTTGCTTTTCTCTCTCAGGTGTGTGACTGCCAGCATGTCCGCCAGCGCCTCCATGACCCAGCAGCTCCTGTCAGGTCGAGCTCCTCGAACGAAACCCTTCAGAGTCACGAATGCTGACCGGAGCGTGAAGAAGGGCATCATGGCCGACACGCTACAAGACCTGATGAACAAGGTGAGGAGAGAGGGGGTAGCATGGGATGGGAGGTGGTGGAGGAGGTTTGTGACGTATGTGACGTATGTGACAGTTAGTCCAACATTTAAAGGAATAGTAAGATTGAAGACATGGTGATGAAGCAGGGAGACACCCTGGTGTGTATAGAGGATTAAAATAACCACAGACTGTGACTCACGTACTGCTGCACCATCTGTGATACTCCTGAACTTTACTCATGCTGCTTAAAGTTCACGTGACTGTGACAGGACAGGATGACTCGCAATGTCTTAATATAGAGAAACCTATCTTGAGTAATGTGAGTCTGGGCCCGTTAACCATGATGCTCGACTGTATATGTCCGTCCCTGCTGTCTCAGGCCAGCGACTCGTTGAGCGTCCCGTGTGTCGGTGCGTTGGTTCTGGGTGAAGACGGCACGGGTGTGGACACAGAGGAGTTCTTCCAGACGCTGCCTGACAACACGGTCCTCGTGCTGCTGGAAGAAGGACAGAAGTGGAGCCAACATCCAGTATGTCTTTTTCACATCAACCTCTAGGCGGCACTGTTGTTCAGTCTCTTCACTGCACAACACAGTGGGAAGCTTGACATATTGATAGTCTTCCTTTGTTGTCAGTGAGTCTTTAATGAATAAAATGACTGACGGAGAGAGGTCTGCCTCTTTAATGCAGCAGCCATGAATAGAGACGGTACATGTATCTGAGCTCTAAAGAAAAACACATCGACCATTCAGTGAAATTGAATAGCATCAAACATTTTCTCCTTCAGACTGAATAGAGCAGTAATATGTCAGTTATTGTGCAGAGGCAGAACACCAGAGATTAGTTTCTTTCTTCATAATTTGTTGATGGAAAAATGAAAGGCTGGTGTTGAATATAAATCAGACCCTGTTGTATCATCAAATACTGTATGACTCATGTTCACCCAAAAGCAATTAATTTCCAAAGAAATTGATGCAGGAGATGATTTGCATCCCACGCCCTAAATATTTACCTTGGACCACACATTGACCATGCCTGTATAGTCATTCGCCATCATCATCATCATCACTGACAGGAGCAGCCTCAGTCAGTAAGAGTACACTGGTTCAGCCGTGAGCCGTCATCCGGTCCAGTTTGCTGCCACACCACCGTGTGTCTGTGCCCTTCTCACCTGACTCATGTTTCCCTTGCTCTCACCTCACAGAACAGCCCCTCCAGAGATCAGCTCTGTGAGGAGAGGCCGCCGCACCGGACAGATGTGGCCAAGCTGACCCTCGACCTCTACAAGAACAACCCCAGTGATTTCATTGGCTGCCTGAACATGAAGGCGACACTGTACGGGGCTTATTCCGTGTCCTATGACCTGCGCTGTTATGCTGCCAAAAATATGTTGAAGTGAGTGAAAATTACCACAGAATATATGAGGCCTGATGTGATTTTTATGCTTTTGTGTCAAACCATTGCGTAACCATTTTGTCCCCCCCCCCCCAAGCACCACTGAAGCCCTTTTTGGATCCTTAGTAAAAGGTTAATTCAGTTAGAGATGAATTTCAATCCATTTTAATGAGTTTCTAATCCATAAATTACCAAGCGGATCATCACCTTTTGGCAATTCAGCCACCCACTAACAATTCAGTTATTATCTGGTCCGCTTCCTGCTGTGTGCAGGCCGCTTTAATAGCACATTAACAGCAGTTGCAGTATTCTGTGCACAGCCCCTACAATGTAAAGCATGAAGTTGTGCTGTACCGTGTACACTCGTGTGGGCGGCAGAGTTAAAATAGAACAAAGGTTAGATTTTACACCGATTAATTTCGGGAGGAGTTATGTCATTGCTGCTGAGATCTACTGGTTTTCAGCTTTGACACACTTCAGTCAGAGAGGCTTACATTTTGCAGACTTGTCACAAATGAGGCTTTTGTGCTCACAATGCAGAGTAAGAGTGTGTGTCTTGTCAGTGTCATGAGATGTGGTTGATGTGTGAAAACCTCAGCTTGTGTGGTCTCATGCTTTTCTATATTGTTTTCTATAACTGTTACTCAAGTAATGATGTCATATATATATATATATATATATATATATATATATATATCCAAAGTTACTCAAACATTGTGATCGCCCTTGTCCATCAGGGCTGTCACTTTTTATTTAAATTCAAACATAGGGGGAAAAATGTGTATTCGACCTGTAATGACTTTATGGATTTCACTTATATACAGTTGGGAAACGCATCTGAAGTTTGGCTCATGATCCAGCAGAGAGCGATCACTATTAACTTGACCTAACACCTGCCCTCTTGACCTATCAGTAAAGTAAGTCAGTAATGTGACGTTGTTTTGACACAAGAAAGAAGATGAGAGCAAGTCATGAGCAGATAATCAGGACACATGGCATCTGAGAGGCAGCTTGTGGAAGTATTTTCAGTTCTACACTGTAGACAGAAATGTAGCAGCTGAGGCTGTTTGTTTACTTTGCACCTTTCAGCCTGTGGGCTCACCTGTTAGCTTCCAGCACAAGTGAGGCAGCAGAGAGGAGCCACCACAGACGAGCTGAGCAACGTCAAGTGCTGACTTATTCAAACAAATTGCATGTCATGTCAAAATCGTTCAACTCCATTGTTAGAAAACTTGACAGCACTAGTCTGTTGCACCATTTCCACAGATTGGAATTTGAATTTGCCAACTATTATTCGATTGTTCCCTCTGTGCTGTGCGTCCAGGGAGGCTCTGCGATGGACCATCTTCTCCATGCAGGCCACAGGCCACATCCTGCTGGGCTCGTCCTGCTACATCGAGCAGCTGCTGGAGGAGGAGGAGCAGGCAGAGAAGAGCCTGGCGCTGCCACAGGAGAGCAGGATCAGGCAGCTGCAGAGCATGCTGCTGGGAAAGATCTCCTACTGACGATGGACTGCATGGCACAGGGGACATATTGTCCAATTCTTAGATTGAGCGCACAGATGAAACAATCGATATCTACCTGATCATACCACTCATTCCTGTGCAGTTTGGAAACATGGCAGATGTTGCAACAGCTCATGCCTCACAGACACTTTCTTGCTCTGTTACGTTGTTTTATCACACACTACAAGTTATTCCTCAGAAAACGCTTTTACTCACTATTATGACATTTTCCTTTGGAGATGAATAAATAAAACTTTATTATTTTCCACACCTGAAGGTTCACTTAAGTCGACTTGCGTGACATCCACAAGTGCTCTTAGATGTGCAGTGTTGCCCATTAGACTGGTGCTTGTGTATGGTTCCTGGTCACAGTCGGTTTAATTGGCAACAGGTCCAGCTGGCTCTCCCACGCTTCTCTAATTGTCCCCAAGCCTGCACTGTCCTGTCAGCTGCAGCCTCTGCCTCCGAGTCGCAGGCGAATAGAAGGGGAATAGCAAGCAGCTGCAGGAGGCGAGGGAGGGAAGCGAACCATTATACACAGAGAGAGGGGGAGAGAGGCTTCAGCTGGCCACAGAAATGCCACTTTTTCCATCTTGTCATGGAAAGTGGGGGAAAAAAAGCTGGTCAGGTTTTAAACAAATTGGCTGTCGGACATATGAAGCAGAAACCTCTGATGTGAGGATTCAGTGGTTAAGAGATGAAGCGTCACTGTGGCCCAGCGTCTTCTCTTGTCCACTGGTTGTTAGAAGCTGAGTCAGCTGGTCATTTCTGTTTCAGTCAATGTTAACATGAAGTTCAATAAATACCCTTTGGATAACAGCTGCTTCATTGTTTGCTAATGTATTGAAGCACAAGCCTGTTTTTCTAGCTGTAGAGGCGATGAACACTGGGACAATTTAACACACTTAAATCCCATCACATAGCATGACCACATGACATAAAAGTGAACACTAACTTTTTGTTTGGAATGAAATGAGTCATGGGGTGCATGCAGATGGACTCATGCTTTATTCTACATTTGTTGTAGTTCTCAGTTTTCCTGAACAACACTGTTGGTGTTTTGAAATGTAGCCATACTGTTGCCTGTCAGCCACTTACCAGTGTTTGGAACATTTTGTTTTTGTTTCCCTTCAGTGTGTGCAAATGCTCCATCTGAAAATATCAAACCATGCACTGCTGTTGTCTTGGTTGAGCTTTGAGCTCAGAACTATAGCTTTACAGAATATTCTGGTCACTTGAAGAAACGTCTGATCCAAATGTAAACTTAAGGATCATCTTACTACCAAAAGAAAGGATCATTAAAAGATTAAAACTCGAAGGGCACGGAGAGCTCATACCCCTGCAAAGGCTGATTGGACTTTATCACCATGTTGGATTTACAGGTACATATACAATATAAACATACACTTTACAATCTGCCTAAAATGTCACCTTTTCATGGTTATTTCTACATTATGCATGATATTCTTTTCACAAAAATATCTGCATTGTTTTGTTGAGAAATTTCAAAAAATATTCTCTCACAATGTAGAAGAGAGTGGAAAAAACAATGCTGGATCTGATCCTGATATGGACCCACAGCAAAATTAAATGGGTTTTCTCCTGACTTATACCACATCCTTTCACGTTTCGTGGTAATCCCTCCAGTAGTTTTTGAATAATGCTAACAGACAAACTCGGATGAAAATATAACCTCATTGGGGAGGTGACAAAAACAAAGACAGTATTTTATGGCAAGGTTATTGGAGTTGGTGTTTGTAGAGAGTGCACTGATTTTGTTGTTTTGGCATTGCACTTCCATAAAGCTCACAAAAACAATATTTCAAACATTTTTCCTCTTTGTTACAATATTTATTAAACACAAAGAATGTGGACAGTTCAACTGTTCACTGTGAGTTTCAGATATGTTATGCAGGGGAGAGGAGATGCTTACAGAGGTCTCCACACTCCTGGTGAAATTTGCTGTGGATCCAGATAATTATCTTTTTTTTAAAAATCAAAATGTTATTGAGGGGGTGATCCTATATTCCCTTCTGCAGAGAATGGATGTAAACAGTTTGCAGAATATATCCGTGGAAGTGGTTTCTGATCTCAATACAATATGTTGAAAAAGTGATCAATCAGCCTTGTGGAGGTAGTTCACATAGAGGGATTGTAGACTAACAGACTTATGTGTGAAATTGATTGAGTTGCCCTTTAACTAAGACTCGCCATGTAAAATGTGAATGCACATTTGGATTAAAACACACTAAATTAATTGACGTGCAGCCTCAAAGAAAAAACAGATCAATTTGAAGCTTTAATTCAGCTTTGATCTGAGTGACCTTGATATCTGGCACCTCCCTCCTCCTCCTCAGTCAGTGGAAATAATCCTGAAAGCGGGGACCTCCGTGGATCCAGCAGGAGACTGAGCTCTGCCTGTGGACAGTGCAGCCGTCAGTTTGTCCGTCCCACGGAGCTGTGCTGTGGACAGTGGCCCCTGGTGGAGCTGCTGGTGAGCTTGAGCGCTGCTGTGCCACAGGACAGGAGGAACGCTTCCCACTAACCCGCACACAGGTTGCGGACATGGATCTCTGAGAGCGCGGCTCCAACACAAGAGGTAAGAGTCCTTTTTTATAAATGTATATATTTTTTTATTTTAATTAATCATAATTCCTTAAGCCGTTTATCTGACTAAACATTTTATTGTAAAATGCGCACGCAGCTTTTGGACTGTATCTTGACTGATCCCGTCCAGCATTAACTTCAACGGTCAATTTAAAAGAGACAGTTTTTCACTCTAGTATTTTAGAAAGGTGCAGTTAATCAAAGATTCACTATTATGACGTCTCTTGTATATTTAAAAGCTCTCGAGTGAACTTTTACGCAGCGTAATTTACAATGTATGTTGTAGAAATGTACCGAAATCTTTTCAAGTGGAAGCATCGCTTCGTTAATACATATTATATTCAACTTTATCCAGTCTAAAGATGGGTATACTTGCACTCCTACTGTGCAGCGCATAGCGCACAGCCCTGCCCAACTGAGCTCCACGAAATATCGATTTCGCAGAGGAATCAGTGTTTTATTAGAAACCTCGGGCTGGTGTGTGGGAGTAGGTGCTTGACACAGTAACGGGCTCCGAGGCTGTGTATCTCTCCCACGCTCCTGAGGGACCTGCAGTCCGCTGAAACATCTCACCGTGCACGCAGCACATCAAAGTGTGCACGTCTGAGTGGACCGTGTGTGTTGTCAGTGTGTTTGCGTTCGGGCTTTGTTGTGCGCGCCAGCAGCCAACATGTATCTTTTAAAAGACATGAACCTCTGCTAATATGTTCTCACTGCCCGTCAGTGTCAATTTATTGCTGAACTGTGACTCTATCTCAACTGTTTAGCAAATATATGGAGAGAATAACTGAATACATCTTTAATTGTGTTTAAACTCTATTTTCATTAATTGCAGGGGAAACAATTGTGTTATTTTACCCCTTGACGTTACAGCTATGCACATTTAACCTTATTTAATATTTTGACGTTATAGCCGATTAGTGGTTATCGGTTTTGTCTTATCCAACCTGTTATCATAGAATTAGATCAACCAGATAATTTATTTACCTACAGCAAATTTGATAATTGCTTAATGAATCAATTATCAGGCTCCAGCTTTGGATGATTTTCTTCATCTTCTATTGCAAGTTGAATATCATTAGGTTTTCGTCTGCTGCTTTGCAAAAAAAATTAAAAGAAAATATGATGAGCTTCTTTTTTTTTTCAATCATTTTCTGATATTTTGGAGACCTAATTGAGACATAATCGGCACGATGAAGATCATCATTAGTTGTATGGAGCTGTCTGCATATAAGTACTCATGGAATGTATTTGTTCTTTGCAATCTATTTGCAGTTAGACAGTCCAGTAAGATGAGCAGTTGCCATGATTTTTTTTAATGGAACAATCTGCTGCTCACTGTCTCATCTGTAATGTGCCTTCAAAGAATCCCATAAATCAGGTTTATATACTCTCCTCTCATGCAATCCTGTGTAGTTTCCATCTCACCAGCAACAGTTGGCTACAGAACGAAACAGCCAAAATGAGGAGATGTACAGAGACGAAAGACTGTAAAAGTGAAACTAATATGCAGTGAGAGGAGGAGTAAAGGGGGGGGGGGGTAGCAACATTGTGGAGGTGCAGAAGAAGAAGAGAGAGGTCCTGATGAAAGCTTTTGATCCTGTAGCTCTGCCACGCCATCCATGAGCTCTGCTGCTGTGGTCGGCTTTGATTGTGAACAGGGAGAAAAATAGGGAAACCTGCTGGGTGTGTGTGTGTGTGTGTGTGTGTGGGTGTGTGGGTGTGTGTGTGAGAACATCGTCCCCTCTCTGTCATTTGACTCCAGCTCACACACAAGCAGATTAATTGTCTATTAATTGCCTCCATCTGTAGCTAAGTAACCTCATCATTTTTCACCAAGTGGCTTTCTGTTCAGCATCTGTTGTCTATCAGTTGTGTCAGTGCACACCTTTACTCTCTCTGTCCGTCTTCTACCCCTTCTTCTCTTCTCTCTGCTTCTCCCCCAAGCTTTGCTTTTCAACCGCTTCAACCATTTCAGGTCTATATTTCTGCCAAGCGATAAATAATTCAGGTAACAGGACAACACAAAGGCCCTTAGTGAGAGCCTGGATGCTCAAACTGGAATTACCCCCATCTACCATTTGGAGGGTCCGTCTGAATAATGGAATACTTTCCCAATATCAAGCATGTCCTAGTCAATGACTTAAAATGGCAATAGGTGCTCTTACTGTTCGTTTAAGTTATCTGTCAGATTCATCCTCTTCCATCAAGGTGTATATATTATTGAGTCTCCTGAAGTTCTTTACAAAACAGCCGAGATTTTACTCTCCCTTATATTCTCCCTCTGAGTCTGTATTTCTCCATGTTTCACGCCTGCAGTTTCCAGCTGCTCCTCAGTTGCTCCTCAGCTCCATTATGAAATGAGACAAAAATATTTATGACTGGGACATAGAAAGTATGAATTCATCTTTATCAACAGCCACAATCAAGGGTTCTAAAAACGCTGGATGGAGAGCCAGTAAAGTTAACTCTGTGAACCGCTCTGTATATTAACACAACAGCGTACGTTGTGTATGGTTTAAGAGGTAGAGCGGGTCGTACTCTAGAGGGTCAGCAGTTAGATCCCATTCCACATGCTGAAGTGTCTTGGGCAAAATACTGAACTCAAGATTGCCCCTGATGGCTGTGCCAGCAATGTGATTGATGTGTGACAGAGAAAGTGCTGCACATAGATACACTGTGTGAATGTGATATATATATATATATATATATATGTACACACACACCATTTACCAATATTGTATATATTGTTTTATCTGAGACTGGCATTTTATTTTTTACTATGTGCAAATGTAGAAAAACATTTAAGCCACAAAGTCACAAGTTTAAAAAAGGGTGACAAGCATTTATGATGAAACATGCAGATTTTTAACACAACAAAAGAAACACATCTACAGTCTAATGCAAGACAATAAAAGCCTTGATAACAATGTTATTAGCATGAAGATGTAATCTATTGCAACAAGACCACAAACTATGACCTTCTGCAAAGTTACTATATTCATCTAATAATTTCAGAAACCTTTGTCTGAATGTCTTTGTGTGGCTCACATATCTCGAGAACCTTCACACTTGGTTTGTGTCTTGTTAAGGGCCCATGGGAGCACAGTGTCAAATTCAAGGCGATACGTTCAATATTGATACACTGCTTTCCGAGTTGAGCTTCACTGAACTTTGAATAAACAGGTGAACAGCTTTTTGTGCAGCAGCCGTGGAGCAGCAGGGTTCTGTGGACTGAGTCCAGCTGCAGGTCTTTATTTGCTGCAGCTCAGTTACTGCAGGTCCCTTCTACAGTTTCAGAAAGAAATCTCTCACCACAGGTCAAACAAACAGATCATTCCAAACAGGTTTAGAACGGAAACTATGTTTAAATCAAAAACTAGTCTCAATAAAAAGAGAAAAACATTACATGCTTAAGTTATTTATTGTGCTGTATCAAATGTCTCCAGCTGCATCATTTCAAAATAAAAAATCTTGCATCAAACTCTGTGAACTTTAAAGAACAGATTGATTAATCTAAATCTCAAGACAGACATTAAATGTATTCCCCAAAAACTACTCCTTTAAAACCTGAATATACTGTATGATATACTGTACACTAACAGAACTGAACTATCCACTTATGATATCCACTGCACTTATCATGCTGGACATGATGATACTTATCTTGCAAATGGGAAACATAAGCGGAGTAGTTGTCCTTACATTTGAAGGTCAGAGTCATGCACTAAAGTTGACATGCTGAAGGCAAACAGCTGGAAGTCAGATTCAGCAGGGTGTCCAATATCTGACCATGTATTTGTTTTCCATTTATCCCACTGAAAGAAATAATCCCATACATTTACCCAAGTGACTTTTAACCTCTGTGTTCATCTACAGCAATAAGACCACTTAGACTCAGCAGGCGTCCTGCACATCTAACTGTGTGTGTGCATGGATGTACTAATACACATATGTATACACATATTTACTGGCCTCTGAGTGTTTTGCTCTGACATGACATTTTGTCAGCGACTGTAGAGAGCGTTCAAATAACAGCTTGATGTCTCGGTAGGGAGTCTATTTACACTTGTCCACACACTTGCACGCACACACTCGTATGTTGGTGGGTGTTCATTGTATAGAGGGTGCATACATTCTCTGTCTTCTTACTGCTCCATTCTCTCTGTTTTGTCGTTCCTTGCCCCCTCACACTGAAGACTCTTGTGTCTCGAGTCTATTCTTGTGCCCCGCTTTGTCCTCAGTAATGTCTTGTGAGCTCTGCTCAGCTTTGTGATGCCATTGTCTTGACAAATGATTGAAGCTGCCTTTTTTTGGCACAAAGGGGGGAAATTATCAGACTCCTGGTGCCAGAAGAAAGATGTCCATCTGCTGTGATCACAAAGATCACTTCAGAGTATCTATGGTGTTAAATCTCAATATATACACTGTATCGGTGGTACTGTGGTTCCCAAAGAAGGGGTCAGGACCCCTTGGGGGTTCGGGGGAGACACAGAGAAAGGGGTTGCAAGATGACAAAACAATTTAAAAACAATTAAAAATAAACTTTTTGCTGTAATTGTTACTGGAATTTAAAGAAATCGTAATCAAATTTAATATAAAATATGTTACTAGCCTTCAGATGTTCTTCAATCCCCACATGACCCATAAGGTGATAATGACAAATTAGTGACAGCATCACCTGCACTGACGTCAATTCACAGCAACAAGAAAAATATTGTCACGTAGTTGATTTTTTTTTCCCGAATCAACACCCATCATCAGGGTCACAAGTCTGTGGTACAGTTATTTTGGGGTTAGGGGCTGAAAGGTTTGGGGACCCCTACCTCCACAGTGACATCCCACTTTCTCAACTGCAGCAGCCCCTGTTCGAAACTTCATACTTCATACCCCACGAGCCCCCCAGCCCCCCAGCCCCCCCTCGGTCGAGTCGACAGTCTGATTAGATTTTCAGTCACCATGCTGCATAACTTTGCATAGTGATGAAGAGAA